AAGTCAACTGCTAAATTACGATTCAAGTTATAAAATCAGGATAATCTCATAAAAAATTTAGAAAATATGAATCCCAATTAAAAAAGACCCAAAGAAATAAATAGAGTCAAGTCGACTCAACCTGTTAAATCCGTAATCCAAATCATGAGATTGGAATAACCTAAAAAAAATTTAAAAAAATTACGAAACTTAATTTTTTACCATTCTAATGTTGAATGATAAAATAAAATAAAATAAAAATCAATCGCAAAAACTAGATAAAAAATAATTCAAATCAACCTGAATTAATATGTTAAATCTATGACTTGAGCCATGAGATCGGGATAAATTAATAGAAAATAAGAAAAAAAAATACAAAACCTCACTTTCAATAAATCTAATATTGAAGTTTGAAATTGAGGGGAAAACTAAATCCATGTGATCGATATATAACCCAATAAAAAAAATTACAAAGCATAATTTTTAAAATAATTCAATATTGAAGGATGAAATTAAAAATAAAATTAAATAAAAAAATAGAAAATTGGATTGTTTAAGGGTGAAGTTTAAAAAAAAAAACAATGGTACCCTTTAGTAAGGAAAAAAAAAAAAATCATCTCTAAGGCAATAAACCAAAGGGTTAATATTTGAAACTTGTAATAGAGAAATGCTGGGTTAAAGCTCTAATTAAGAGGAGGAGGTCATAAATTAGGGACATGGAGGAGCTCAAGGCCTCAACAAAATCTATCTGTGTATTGTGTATCTGGAATAAAAAGTTGAAAATCGCAATTGCTTAGGAATTGACAGCACTGGGATTTCAATCAACACTAAATTTTACCACTTTTTAGCATTTCGTATAGATTTTGCTCATTGTTTAAACGAGGGATAAAAGCAAGTTTGTCAAGAAATTCTAAAAAGAAAGTCACATTCACTCGAAAAGGCTATGCTTTGATGCGAAAACAGCATATCCATTTGCACTTGTGACAATCATATCTATTTGTTATTCGACTTCTCTTAGCTGTTACATGTAGCAAATATTTTCATGAGAGGACAGGGAGGCCTAGGCTACTGGAGCAGGAAACCTCTCCTTGCAAGGGAGGCCCGGGCTCCATCACACGCCGTTGATTTCAAATCTTAATGGTAAGAACCATGCTAATCACATATGTATTTGAGGTTAAACAGGACGATCTTATCAAGATGCGAAATCAAGCAATGCACATGTACGAGGAGAGATTGGAGGACCTGGACCCCCCCCCCCCCCCCCCCCCCCCCCATCCCCCCCACCGGCGAGGAGAGATTGGAGGACCTGGACCCCCCCCCCGCAACTAGGATATGCTCCTCGAGTGATATGGACAACCTTAGAGAACATGGCCTGAAACTAGTTGTTCCTGTCTGTCTATTGCTAAAAAGGATGGCGTTCAGGCAGGACATATCTCAAATAAACCTAAGCAAATCTCTAAACAAGGCAATATTCTGAGCTTACAAGGACACAACAATAATCATGAACGCAGAGAGGCATCTAACTAAAGATTTAGCTAAAGTGGGGAAAGATGGGTGGGAACCCATTTTTTGTGGCTTTGGGTAGAAGGGAATAACTAAATTCTTGACTTGAGAATATGACTCATTGGCTTTAGTTTGAGTTAAGATTCTAGCATTCCCATCTTGGAATCTTTAGCAGCTTTATCCTTCCTCACCCTGCTTTTTCCACAAGGAATACATTCCGTGGTCATTTCTCACTTTCTTGTTTCATCCAATGCAATAGCATCTGTGGTCAACAAAATACAACCAATCAACATCTTGCATGTGTAAGTCGCTTATGATTGACCAGCCCTTAAAATGTGATTCTCTATTCTCTGATGCGTTCTTTTCTTTTTCGGCTCCTTCTTGTCCTCAAAAGTAAAGTTCTATGGTAATATAGAATCCATAAAAAGGCATTGCAAGTACAAGGAAGAACAAGAAATCCAAGTCCTCTCTTACAAAGCGGTGGGGAACATCATTCTCAGGGAGATGAAGCTGAAAGCAGTAGATAACAGAGTGAACGTTAGGCATTCTTTTGCACTGTACAAAAACCAGACCCCCAACTCTGGTTTCTTGAGGAGGATTGCCACATAGCATTAGTAATACTAACAACTAACAAGGGCATTTGGGCAACATCATCACATGTCCCATTATGGGAAAGGTCATCCCTGAGACAAGAAATAATTTATTCTGTTTACAGCTAGGCATTGACACTTTAGAATGCTACCTCTTGCAGCAAGAACGCACCTCATCAATGATTAAGCACAGTGCATACTTAGCATTATAATGTAAAGAAACCTAAGATACTATTAACTCTTATGAGCTTTTTGGTGAACAAGATTCTCTACACGGTACAATACAACTACTGGATTCGCTGTTTTTCAATTAACCAACACAATTAAACAGGGTTATGTGCATGGATTTGTATATTTTCAGTATATTAGCTATCAAGGATTAAGATAAAAATAAGCAGCTTTTACTTGTCATGTTACATGTTAGTTGTTCTTGTTGTGGGAAATATCAGCAATGAATGTGCAGCTAATTCACACGCAATGATGATGCTTATACCATTTGGTAGGAAGATGTCACACTGGCTTGCATTCTTGCTAGAAATTCGTAATATCATCACAATCCTAGCAAAACTCACTCACAGTTGGTGACACTAATTTCATTCAGTACAGGCAACTTAATTTTGCAGCTTGCATTTGTACACTATCATGCCTCTTGTGCAATATATTCCTATCCACATGCCAGCAAACTATTTAGGAATTCTACTTTAGTACTTTACGTTCAAGGTTTTTCAACAGATTCTCTCCAAACTGCATAAAACATCCCCACAAATCAGAATCAAGTGATCTTCCTAAAAAGGCCAATTGGAACTAATGTGAAGATTTTGTTCAAGGAATACAAATTTTATTTACGTTACTATTAAGTGACCTCTTATAATTTCCATCAATTGGCAATCGTTGTTTCATGCATCTCTCGTGCACTTATTAAATGGGTATCTGCATATCAAAAATGTCCACATTCATTAATAAATTTTATTTCCGTATCGAGTGGTAAGTTGGTGGATCTGTTCTCCATGACTTAACATAAGAATTTATTCTGCATTAACAGTTGATCATATAGATAATATTTTTAAAGAGGTATGGTATAATTCCTGATGATCATCTCAAGAACAGATCCTTCATTGCAATGCAATGAAACAGCATAAGCATAAAGAACATGCAGTTGACACATGCAGAGCTTTCACAAATGGAAATCCAGAAACAAATCAGATTATTTTACACGAGTTTAAAATAGCGGTTGACCGTGTATGTGGTATGCAGATATCCGTTTTCTTCAAGCAGCTAAGATAAGACCAAGTCGAGCTTTATATGCCTAGCAAATTTTCAAGCTAGATGCATGCTAAAGTATCTATTCTTTCTTTCCTTCTTTCTTTTTGATGGAAATCGAAAGACTTCATTAAGATAAAACAGCTACCAAGAGAGTGACATAAATGGATGGAAGAGAATAAAATGATACAACAGCTACAACCAAGCTACAAGTTCTCCGGTTCTTTCTAAGCTTTGCTTTGCTAGGCTGTCTGCTACCCCATTTCCTTCCCTTAAAATGTCAATGAAGCTAATTGACTTGAAACACTATGCCACCCCAGTTTCTTCCCTTCTAGCGTCTGCGGTATTTGTACATGCAGACACATGGTAGAAGGTAAATTTAATGTTTGTTTGTTTAAGATTGTTCAGAAGTAAGAGGGAATGTGAGACAGTATGAGTTAATTTGTGTGAAATTCCATATCTCGTGTGCAAAATTATACGAGGAGTATCATGCATGAACTCATCTGTTGTAAAACGATTCAATGACAAATCTATATAAATATATGGATACTTAAGAACACTTTATTAAAACTCGAACAGAAAATGTATGTAAGATAATTATAGAAAAATAATACTAAAAATAAAAGAGAGCAATTTAAGAGTGCATAGATTCATACAAGAGAATCTGGAAAATGAAGGCAGAGTCAAGGGCAAGCGGTTATCTACAGGGAAAGAAGTGTCATGTCCTTCACAAAATGCAAGTAAGGAAGCAAGTACAATCCTTCTGTTTGTTTGCTTTCTATTCGGTCCCAGGTGCTTAGGATTCGTCGGTGCGGGGCCGGCTGTCTTACGCAAATTGAAGAATGTAAAAGAACTGGGGCCCTCTTCTATTTTATACTGGGGGCTGAATAAGTACCAAACTTACTGAAGGAGACAATAGAGAATGTATTCCTTATTCCATTCCTTGCCTTCAATCAATGTCCAAGGACAAGCATCTTTCCACCATTTATTTTCCTTTTTCTTGTTTGTATCCAATTCCAAAGTTTCCAGGTGCTCCAGTCAAAAGAATCTTCCTCTACATTCTTCAAATAAACCGAAATAAAACAAGGTTTTGTGTCTCCATCTACTCACTTGAGCATGGATAACATCCAATTAGACATCGTTTACAATATGATTAGTCTCGTAACATACATTGACAACTGAAAAAACGACCTGGGAATAAGGTAAGGGGCAAGGATATCAGAAATCTGAGAATCTTCCATGAGAATGAACGGGCAAAGAAGGTCTCAAGACAACATAGATATGGATTCCCCTAATCCAAGTCAGAAAAACTCTTCTCATACCCGGGAATAAGATTCTTGCTTTACACAGACAGACGAATTCGAATGCACACAACTAAAAAAACTCTGGTGGGATCAATTCTGGTATATAATGCAAGGCGTTAACATGTTTTGGAGAGTTAAATGTGCAGAGGAATTCAAATAGATAGCACTGTCTCAGAATAGAAAGTGGAGTTCTAGGAGAGGCCCCACAGTTAACAAAGGAGGAAGGACAAATCTTTTTTCAAGTCACTGTGAATATTGGATTGGACCGGGTGTACTGTTGGCTCTGTCCAAGATTCTATGCCTCGCTAGCCCACAACCTCCACCCCAATTTGCTTTATAAAAGCATGCTTGAGCGGACCTTTGGTTTGTGAGCATTAGCTGAAGGAGATAGGAGATAAGCCAGAGCACTTGCAAAAAATATCCGAGTGTGAGCATTAGCTGAAGGAGATAAACAAGAGTAGTTGCAGAAAATCATGCTTAGAAGGATCTGATGTGGGATTTTACCTGAAGAATATCGCGTAATCAAGTTCAACATTTTAGGGTATAAAAGATCAGGCTGAGAGAGTGAGAAGATATCAGGTAAATACACTACTGATCTTGTCCACAATAGTTACACTGCCGGTGCTACTATAGCAAGCTAAACTTGAATTGGATTTATAGGAGATATAGAAATGTACCATCACCACCAGCATCAAGGAAAGAGCATCCACTCTTCTTCAAGAATGGCAATCCCTCCTGAAAGACATCTGTTCCTGCAAGGAGGGAATGGCCCTGGAGATTCTGGACTTGTCCTCTCGACTGATGCAAAGCCTAGACTAAAGTGGACACCAGATCTTCACGAGCGGGTCATAGAAGCAGTCAATCAGCTTGGAGGAGCAGACAGTGAGTATACACAAAGGTTAAAAAGCCCAGCAACAAATAGACTAGTGAAATTCAGCATAATCAAACGTTGTTCTTTTATATTTTCAGAGGCCACTCCGAAAACAGTCATGAAACTTATGGGAATTCCTGGACTTACCTTGTACCACCTAAAGAGTCATCTTCAGGTAAACCATTACATTATCTGAGCATTGTGGAAATATATCTGACACCAACCAGTTATAGCTGCTTTTAAAAGTTTTTTAAATAGCATCAAGACCCTCTAAGATTTAACCATCCATCCAAGCTCGGGGACATCAAAAGAATACCAGCCTTTCTATTGTTAAGAGTTGGAGCATCACAATCTGGTGGTTCCACTGTTTATTATTTTTCTTTATATGCATAATTTTGTAATAGAAAAAATCCATGGATCGATGCTTCATTTCTGTTGACTGATAAATAAGCTAGAAAATCTTGTGCTTTGGAGTTTGAATAGTAACAAGTAGAAACCCAAAGAGGCCTGAGCATGAAAGAGCAAAAACTCAGCAAATAGTAGTAAAAATTACCCTTTATTAGACAGAGCTTAAAAATAATACCACGCATGAAACAATTGTTTTTCCTTAAGAATTGAAATTGCCAAATCTCTTCTCTCTCTCTCTCTCTCTCTAATTTAGCTAGAGAATGCTAGAGTATTTGAGTTTTGAATTTGTTTGGATTCACACAATAATATGGTGCTAACTCCACTTTCGCACTATCAGAAGTACAGACTCAGCAAGAACCTTCATGGACAAGCTACTATTGGGAGCAGCAAAATTGGTATGAAGACAGTGCAATAAATTACTCTCCGAATATTTTCAACTATTGATCAGAGATTAAAGAATTGCACATTTTCTTATGCAAAATGTAAATTTGTAACTTCACACAGGTACTGTTGCTGTGGTGGGAGATAGAATGCCTGAAGCAAATGCAACTCACATTAACATTAACAATCTAAGCATCGGATCCCAACCAAACAAGTACGAAGAGTTCATTTGCTATATGTTCATTTGTCTTTTTTCTTATATAGAAAAGCATGTTTAAAATTACTTTACACTAAGACAGAATTCTTAAATCCAGAAGCTTACATTTCAGTGAAGCACTACAGATGCAAATTGAAGTGCAAAGAAGGCTGCATGAACAGCTTGAGGTAAAGTATAACTTTCTGAATAATTACATTTCAGCTTTTTTTGTTGTTGGAGGGAAGCTCTCCTAAACACACACACACGTCATAATATAAGCCTCTTGTGCTTGCAAAACTCCATTAACCATGATCCATGAATTATAAGAAGAGAGAGAGAGAGAGGGAGAGAGAGAGAGGGGGGGGGGGGGGGAGAGGGAGAGAGAGAGAAGCAAATGATCATCTTCATTAAATTGGGAATCATATTTCTCGAAAACATAGCTAATACTAAGTGTGGAGAATCCAGCATGAGAGCATTCTCATTTAACACGAGAAAAGTCTCTGCTTTTTGATAGATTTTAATTTTTGGAGGGGCATTAGATTCATAATTCAGATTTACAACTTTTCAAGCACACCACACTCAACCTCAAAGATATATCAACACACTTGTTTTATTTTATGTCCTTATTTCCAGTCGACTAAGTTGGTATTTCAGATACAGAACTTAAATATTATCTATCAAATTGCTATCATTAATTTATCTTGGCACAGTGGCCTCTTGTTTCTGTCATCATGTGTCTATAAATATAGTAAAATGGTATAACCTACATTCTGATAATTTGTTTTGAACTGAAACAGGTGCAGAGACATTTACAGCTCCGCATAGAAGCTCAAGGAAAATACCTACAGGCAGTGCTAGAGAAAGCCCAGGAAACCCTTGGAAGGCAAAATTTAGGTACAGTGGGGCTTGAAGCTGCCAAAGTTCAACTCTCTGAACTAGTGTCCAAAGTGTCTACTCAATGCCTGAATTCCACATTTTCAGAGCTAAATGATCTGCAGGGTCTATGCCCACAACAAACACCACCGACCCAGCCCAATGATTGTTCAATGGACAGCTGCCTGACCTCCTGTGAAGGTTCACAAAAGGAGCAAGAAATACACAACACTGGGATGGGGTTGAGGCCCTGTAATAGTAATGCTTTCGTAGAACCAAAAGAGATTACTGAAGAACATGCATTGCAGCAAACTGAACTCAAGTGGGGTGAATATCTGAGAGAAAACAAGATGTTTCTAACCTCAATAGGACATGAGACAGAAAGGAGAACATTTTCTGCAGAAAGAAGCTGCAGTGATTTATCCATTGGTGTTGGGCTCCAAGGAGAGAAGGGGAATATAAGCAGTAGCTTTGCTGAGGGAAGATTTAAGGGAATGAGTGAGGATGATAGTTTTCAAGACCAGACTAACAAAAGGGACGATTCAGTTAAATTTGAGAACGAGAAAATGTCACCAGGGTATAGATTGTCTTACTTCACAACCAAACTGGATCTGAATTCCCATGAAGAAATTGATGCAGCTTCAAGCTGCAAACAACTCGACTTGAATGGTTTCAGCTGGAACTGAGATGGTTCACTGAGAGCTAAAGGCCAACCGGACGGGTTCAGGGGATGATCCCTCACGAGAGGATGAAAGTCAACATGATAACATTCAGTTTTCTCCTTCACGTCAAGTGGCTTGAAAACAATCGCTTTAACCTCAGCTGAATAAGTTGCACCAACAGATATAGCTTGCACTATAATGTAAATCAATCCAGTAGATGTACTCTTTCTATCTTATATGACATTAAGAGGTCGTGGACATGAAGCTCAAAATGAAAATACTCGACTTAGCTGTTCAAGTGCTTATTTCCTGTCAAATGATTGAAATTGAACTTCAACTTGAACTGTGTGAGGAAATCCTAGAGTTCTTAGTTCCACATTCATGGCTCACAGAAAGTAAACACAGAACTCCAAGGCCTTAATCCAATATACAACTTGAGAATTTCATCTAGCGAATTGTTAGCTGAGGCCGGGAAAACTGTTAGGATATTCAAGCATTCAAACACACATCAATTTACGTGGTTCGACAACTTGCCTACTCCACGAAGCTACTGGTTTGTATTAATCAAGCTTAAAAGCAATACAAACAACAAAACAAGGAGGAGGAGAAAAAACTTATCTACTCAACTCAACTCTCACTCTTAGCTTTCTCTATGTTTCTTTCTATCTCGTGTGTTACTCAGTTATCAATGACACTCTCTATTTATAGCTGATGTGGGAGACAATCTTCTTCCTTTGATTAACAATGGTGGGCAACAATTTCTTTGGTTAGGCACCCACCATTGACTCTTACCATGTCAAACATGGCTGCCACCAACCATATTGTGTCCACACACAATAATCTCCCACTTAGACATAAATAGCGCTAGATCTGTCTTTTAATCTTTAAGACCAACTGAAGCTTTACACAACTTCAGTTTATCAAGAGTGACTCCTTTGGTTAACATGTCAGCTGGATTCTTGCTTCCACAGATCTTTTCAAGTAATAGTTGTTCATCGTCGAGCAATTGCTGGATGAAGTGATATTTGATCTGTATATGCTTTGTTCTGGAGTGAAATGCTGGATTTTTGGCAAGGAAGATTGCACTCTGACTGTCACTATACAAAGTACCATTTCCATTCATCTTGCCCAATTCTTGCAGGAAACTCTGCAGCCATACTATCTCTTTTGCAGACTCTGAAACTGCAACATATTTAGTTTCTGTTGTTGAAAGAGCAACTATCTTTTGCAAGGTAGAACTCCAAGAAACAGCAGTGCCTACTAGAGTGTATATATAACTTGTAGTACTCTTTCTGCTATCAACATCTCCTGCTAGATCAGCATCTACAAAACCTTCAAGTTTCAAACTGCCAGTTGTGAAGGTAAGACATGTCTCCGATGAGCCTTTTAAGTACCTCATGATCCATTTCACTGCCTCTCAATGCTGCTTTCCAGGATTGCTCATATATCGGCTTACAATTCCCATTGCATGGGCAATGTCTGGTCTAGTACAGACCATAGCATACATCAAAGAGCCGATAGCTGAGGCGTATGGAATCTTATCCATGTATCCACGTTCTAGCTCAGTTTTTGGTGACTGATCTCTACTGAGCTTGAAATGATTCCCCAGAGGTGTACATACTGGCTTAGCATTATCCATACTAAACCTGCTGAGAACCTTCTTGACATACTCTGTCTGTGAAAGCTTTAGTATGCCTTCGTCTTTGTCTCTGATGATTCTCATGCCAAGTATTTGTTTAGCAGCTCCTAGATCCTTCATTTCAAACTGTTTTGACAACTGTTGCTTTAGCTTGTCAATCTCTTCCATGCTGGATCCTGCAATCAACATATCATCCACATACAGCAGTAGAATGATATAGGAGTTGTCAAAATATTTGACATAACAACAATGATCAGCCTGACATTTTGTATATCCCGAACTACACATGAAGTTGTCAAACTTCTTGTACCACTATCTTGGAGCTTGCTTCAAACCATATAGACTCTTCTTTAGCTTGCAAACTTGATTCTCCTTTCCTTGTATTGCAAACCCCTCTGGTTGTTGCATGTAAATGTCTTCCTCCAATTCACTATGAAGAAATGCTGTTTTTACATCTAGTTGTTCAAGAAGTAAATTTTTTGCAGCTACTATCCCTAGAACAACTCTGATTGTTGTAAGCTTCACAACTAGAGAAAATATCTTAGAATAGTCGATCCCTTTCTTTTGCTGAAACCCTTTTACAACAAGTCTTGTCTTGAACCGTTTGCTTCCGTCATGCTCAGTCTTTACTCTGTAAACCCATTTGTTTTGTAAAGCCTTCTTTCCTTCAGGCAGTGTGGTTAGCTCCCAAGTCTTGTTCTTCAACAATGACTCCATCTCGTCCTTCATGGCTAACTCCCACTTGCTCGAGTTTCCATCTTGTAAGGATTCTTCATAAGTTAATGGTTCACCACCATCTGTCAGCAAAATATAATTCAGTAGAAGTGTGAACCGTTGTGGAGGCTTTATAGTCCTTAAAGACCTGCGAATAGCTGGTTCACTTGGCTCTGCATTGTCTTGTGTAGTAGTGGTGGGTACTGATGTGTTTGAACTTTCTTGTAAGGACTCTTGAGTGGTAACATCGGGAAGCCCTTCTAATTTTATGAATTCAGATTTTTGTGGACTCATATCTGAATCAGCCATCTCTGTTTCTGTACTTGATATGTCTTTGTACAAAACTTTCTCATTGAAGATCACGTTCCTGCTTTTGATAATCTTCCTGTTCTGATCATCCCAGAACCGAAATCCAAATTCTTCATCTCCATAGGCAATAAAGAAACATTTCTTTGATTTGACATCCAGCTTGTTGCGAGCATCAGAATCTACATGCACATAGGAAACACACCCAAAGACCTTTAAATGAGAAAGTTGTACTTCTTTTCCTCTCCAGACTTCCTCGGGCAGTCTGAACTCCAAAGGAACTGATGGTCCACGATTGATCAAGTAAACTGCAGTGTGAACTGCATCAGCCCAAAATATTTGAGGTAACCCAGAATGCAACCTCATGCTTCTAGCTCGTTCATTGATGGTCCTGTTCATCCGTTCAGCAATGCCATTTTGTTGTGGTGTGCCTGGAACTGTCTTTTCCATTCTGATACCATTGATAGCGCAATACTCCTTGAAACCTCCATCAATATATTCTCCTTCATTGTCAGATCGTAAGCATTTCAACTTCAAACCTGATTCAGTCTCAACCATAGCCTTCCATTTCTTGAATGTGTCAAACACATCAGATTTATTTTTCAGAAAGTAGACCCATACCTTCCTACTAAAGTCATCAATAAAAGTCACATAGTACCAAGAACCTCCAAGAGATGCTACTAGAGCTGGTCTCCATAAATCTGTGTGCACCAGTTCTAGCTTTCTTGGTCTTAAGGTCCTACCAACCTTTAAGAAACTGAGCTTCTTCTGTTTTCTGAGAACACAGCTTTCACAAATGTCTAGATCAATATTTTTTTAACTCTAACAGCTTTCCCTTTGACTGAAGTATCTTCATCCCCTTTTGACTCATATGACCGAGTCTACAGTGCCATAATTGTGCCTGATTTTCTGCTTCAATAGAGGCAATTATATCTGCTAATCTTGTGGTCATATACAGGGTGCTGGTTTTCTTTCCACGAGCTAAAACCATTGCTCCCTTTGATACCTTCCACATTCCTCCATAAAAAAGGATTGAATGGCCACTATCATCAAGTTGTCCGACCGAGATTAACTTCTTCTTTAGTCTAGGAACATGCCTTATATTTTGCAAGTTCCATATAGATCCATTCATTGTCTTGATTTGCACATCTCCTATACCCACAATATCCAATGGTTGTCCATTGGCCAGATAAACTACCCATAATCTCCATCAATATAGTTTTGCATCATTTCATGGTGTGGAGTATAGTGAAATGAAGCTCCAGAATCAAGAACTCAATCATCAATAGGACCATGTACAGCAAGAATCAAAGCATCTTGTACCTCGTCTGTAGTGGCGTTTGTAGAATCAGTTTCAGGTTTTTTCGGTTTTGTGCAACTCCTCATGAAATGACCAGGTTTGCCACAATTCCAACATTCAACCTGCTTCCTAGGTCCAAACTTGCTTTTACTTCTGTACCTGGATTTTGATCTGCCTCTGGATAAGCCTCTGTCCTGTCTCCTTACTCGAGTGTTGATGTTGAGAGTTGAACCTGAACTTGACTTTTCACCCGAGTCTTTCCTTCGTACTTCTTCAGCTAAAATCAGGTCTCGGATGTCATCATATTTTAATTTGGATTTTTCGGCTAAGTTGCTTACGGTTGTTCTCATACCTTCCCAACTGCTTGGAAGTGAAGCTAGCAAAATAAGTGCTCGGATCTCATCATCAAACTCAATCTCAACAGATGACAATTGATTTGTGATGGTGTTGAAATTATTGAGATGCTGTGTAACAGAGGTGCTTTCCATCATCTTCAGGTTGAACAGCTTTTTCATCAAGTGCACTTTGTTATTTGCTGATGGCTTCTCATACATCCCAGACAGGGCTTCCATCAATCTTGCTGTGGATTTTTCTTTTGTAATATTATGAGCAACTCTTCTTGACAATGATAGCCGGATAATGCCCAAAACTTGTCTATCAAGAATTTGCCAATCTTCTTCTGACATGTTTTCTAGTTTGCCCCAACAGAGGAAGATGAAGTTTCTTCCCATATAGATAGTCTTCAATTTGCATTTTCCAATATCCAAAATCAGTTCCATCAAATTTTTCAATTCCCGCAGCCTTTATTTCATTTGCCATTTTTAATCTTTCTTGGATTTGAATCTGTAAAATCTGACCTTACAGATGTGTCCGGAATGGCCAAAAATATTGGAAACGACACTAAAATCACCCAAATCGGACTTTGGATGGCTCAGATATAAACAATCAAAATTTTGGATCATTGGACGCTGCAGATGAAGCCACGTGTCAGGAGGAATAGTCGCTGCACCACACTGGATCAAAACCTAGAATGATGACGTGGATTTGTTGACGTGTAAGCCATGTAAGATAAGCGGGCCCACAATTATGATGTGGCAAAGCCACGTGGATTTCTGGCTGACGTGGCAGCGATGACGTGGCAGATAACGTGGATGATGATTGTGCAGAACTGCTTGTGTGGCTGCTGACATGTCGGGTCAACCCGGTTCAATTTGCAGAAAACAGGCGAGGAAGACGCGTGAGGCGCGTCGGTGCGTGTGGACAGTGCTGGTGGTGGCGGGTGCAGGCGCGTGCGGGCATGCAGGACACCGGTTTTTCTCCGGGTTTTCACCAGCGAATT